GTGAGGCTGGGTCCCTGGAGGGCTGGGCCCCTGAGACAGGCAGTGCCCTGCTCTGGGGGCAGCAGTTGCTGTAACAGCAGTTACAGCTGCCCGTTGCTCTGAACGCCCTGTTGGTCTGTTTGCTCAGGATGCAGCCATCAGAAACCTGCGGCCCCTTCCGGGGGCTGGAAACCATCTACAAGTCAGGGAAGAGGTGGGTGCTAGTGCTGGAGCAGTCCAACCCCAACATCACCTGGTTTGCCTGGGTCTACCAGCACCTGCTGGAGAACACATGCCTACTGTTCTTCATGTCCGTGGCCCTGATGTGAGTATGGACCCGAGCCAAAGCTGAACCCCAGGCTCTCCCTTTGAGGGTCCTGCTGTCACAGCCCTGAGCGGGCTGGAGCCAAGGTGTCACTCCAGAGCCCTGTGCCCCATCCCAGTGCCAGGAGAGCGTCCCTCAGCCTCCTGCCTGATGCCACCATCCCACCCTGCTGTCATTACAGAGCTGTGATCTACTTCAACATCCAGGTGGTGAGAGGCCGCCAGAAGGTCATCTGCCTGCTGCAGGAGCAGATTGCCAATGTGAGCACTGCCCTGCCTGTCCCCGCTGCTTCACCGCCTGCTGCAGCCCCAGCACTGCCAGTGTGGGCTCTGGCCCCAGCAGGGCAGGCACTCAGCCCCCCGGTGCTGTCTCTGATGTTGCAGGAAGGGAAGGATAAGCTGTTCCTCATGGAGAAGCTCCGCTCCGTGTACAAGTACAGAGGCAGGCGCTCCTGAGTGCCAGGTGAGGCCAGCGGGAAGGGCAGTGGGCAGGGGCTGGAGGCAGCCAGAGCTCAGCCATGGGCACACACACTCCTCTGCCTGTCCCGAGGGATGCCTTTGTGTTACTGAGGCCCAGAGACAGGGAAGAGGATGGAGGCAGGTCTGGGACAGGGACCCAGGATCTTAGGGACTCTGTCCTCTTGGTGTGCACAGGAAGGAATGGGATGGAACAGACTCTGCTTGCAGCTGGGACTGAATCTGTGCATCAGAGCACAGCGCTGGAAGCTGGGGGACCATGGAGTGCTGGGGAAGATCCTCCTCTTGCCATGGCCAAGGACCCGTTGGGAGGTGTCATTGGGAGTGCTGCATCCCAGGGATGCAGGAGCTCCTGCTGCCTGGAGCTGCTGGGATGCAGCAGGCGCGGGACCCAGCCTGCCTACACACCCCAGGGCACAGCAGGACTGCTTCACCTCACAGCCCTGCTCCATGGGGCTCACTACTTGCAGAGAACTGCCCTTCAGCTCTCCCTCCTGCCAGCGTGCCCTGGCTGTTCTCAGAATCCTTTGGGGACCATGAGCTTTCTCCACAACCACCTTCACCTGCCTAGGGGCAGCAGGCTTGGGGCCAGCTCCAGCCCAGTGCTCACCAGGAGAGCAGCAGGCTGACTGCGGCCACACAAACGAGGTCACTGGGCCACCCCCAGCACCGCCTGGTGGGACAGACCTGGAGGAATCTCCGTGCTGCCGAGGGCTGGGCTGGGCAGGGCTCTGCGGGCCCAATTAAAGTGCTGCTGTGCGGGAGTGCTCGGGCTGGTGTCTGGACCTGTCGGGCTGGAAGCAGGCAGGGTTGGTGTCAGTGCTGCTGGTGGTGGTGACTCAGCAGCAGTGTAGGGCTGTGCTCGGGCTCCTTGGCACAGCCTGCTTTCCCTTGGAGTGCCTGGGGCAGAGCCCACACTGCTGGAGTGAAGNCTCGTGGAGCACATGCACACGGTGAGTGCCGCCTCTCACCCGGGATCCCTGCCCTGGCCTTGGAGGAACAGGGCTGGGCTACTGGGGAGAGGGGCAGGGACAGCCCCTTGCAGCTCTGCTCCTGGCCTGGGCATCTGCTGCTCTCCCCAGGACACCACAGCTGGCTGCCAACAGCTGTGCGCTCAGCCAGTTCCTGCTCACCAGGTTCAGCAGGAGCAGCAAGCACAGGGCAGTGGCAGATGGCAGCAAGAAGCCGTTCTGCTGGTCCTGCCCCTTGTGGTGTCCCTCCTCAATGCCTTGATGCCCCACCTGTTCAACCTGCTGGCCATGTGGGAGAAGCAGGACTCCCCAGTGACACAGGTCTCCGTGGCCATCTTCAGGTGGGCTGGCTGGGCTCTGGTGGAGGGAGCATTCTGCACCTGAGGCAGGCAAGGAGGCTTTGGGGCCAGGCACCCCATCTGTGGGGTTTGGCCCCTCCGTCCCCCGGGCTCAGGGACTTCTGGCACTGCTCCTGCTCCCCAGGAACCTCATCCTGAAGGTGGTGATTCTCAGCCTGCTGTGCTACCACTGGCTCAGCCGGAGCGTTATCTGCTCAACAGAGGAGGTGAGCACCACTGCCTCGGGGCCATGGAGGGCTGGGCTGAGCACAAGGAGCTGGTGGCATCTGCCCTGTCAGATGTCAGGAAGGAATTCTTCCCTGTGAGGGTGGTGAGGCTCTGGCATAGGTTCCCAGAGAGGCTGTGGGTGCCCCATCCTATGAACTGTGAAAGGCCAGGTTGGGCAGGACTCAGAGCAACCTGGTCTAATGGAAGGGTGTCTCTGCCCATGGGAGGGTGGGGAGAGAGATGAGCTTTAGGGATCCTCCCAGCCCAAACCAGTCTGTGATTCTATGCCACGCCTGATTGTCTCCCCAGTGCTGGGAGACGTGTGTGGGGCAGGAGCTGTATCGCTTCATGGTGATGGATTTCATTTTCACCCTGCTGGACACGCTCTTCGGGGAGCTCATCTGGAGGTGAGAGACCCCAAGACATGTCACCCCCATGTGCCATCCCTGCGTGGCCCCAGCTCTGTGGTGCACCCAGGCTCTGCTGCCATCAGAGGGGGAAGGTGGGGTGTGAAGCACCCCCAGGCAGCGTGGGGCAGAGTTCATTTCCACCCAGGCTGATTCTGGAGAAGAGGCTGAAGACAAAGCAGAGGCCGGAGTTTGACATCGCCCGAAATGTGCTGGAGCTGATCTATGGGCAGACCCTGACCTGGTGAGACGTTTCTGCCTGGCGTGGCTCCTTCCTCTGCTGGCAAATGCCTCGTGGTTCCCAGGAGCCCTGTGGGTGCTGTGGCTGGGCCCACCACTGCGTCCCCTGGGGCTCAGACCCAGGCAAGCTCATCTTTCCCCTGCTCCCAGGCTGGGCGTTCTCTTCGCTCCGCTCCTGCCAGCCGTGCAGATGCTGAAGCTGCTGCTGCTGTTCTGTATCAAAAAGGTGTGATTCCCCACCCCTGCAAGTCCCTGCGGTGGCACTGTGCCCTGTCAGCCTGTGCTGCAGCGGTGCCACCCGGAGCAGCCTCGTCCCTGTGGGGCTGAGTGCAGCCCCTGGGGACAGCACGGCCGAG